TTAAGACTCTGCCTACCAATGCAGGGGACACAGGTTTGACCCCTGATCTGAGAAGTTTCCATATGCCATGGGCAGCTAAGCCCATGTGCCACAACTACGGAAGCCCGTAAGCACTGGAGCTGGTGCTCTGTAACAAGAGAAGCCACTGCAGTGAGAATCCCATGCACTGCAACTAGGGAAAGTCCACATGCAGCAAGGAAGACCCAGCTCAGCCAATAAAGAAATAAAACCTTTTTTAAAGTTCTCAGAAGAAAAAAAATTGTAACAGTGTATGGTGTTGAGTGTTAACTAGACTTACTGTGGTGATCATTTTGCAGTGTAAGAAATATTAAATCATTATGATGTACACCTGAAAGTAATATTATGTCATATGTCAATTATACCTCAACTAAAAAATAAGTAGGTAAAATGTCAAGTAAAAATGTAAAAATCTGAAATTTTAAATGACAATAGTATGTTGAAATAATCAGTTATATAGTGTTAAATTTTATAATTTAACAAAATATTAAAATTAATTTTGACCTATTTTTACTTTAATGAATGTACTACTGGAAATTCTGAAATTGTGTGACTCATTTTGTATTTCTATTGGATAATGCTGTGAAAGAGCCAATGCTTTAATAAGGAAGGCAAGTAACATATAATCTACTTCTATATGCCTTTATCAAGAATGAATATATTTGCAAAGTGAGATGAAATCATATTTATTTATATATTTATTTTTGTCCTTTTGGATTTTTTAAAATAAATAAAATTTATTTTGACTTCTTCAAAAATTTAAAAAATTTTATAGGTACCAATTGTATCAAAATTTTTTATGATTTCATTTGTGATGTGGAAGATATGCATAGAACACGAGTGCAGAGCTTTTATTCAACTGATAAATGAGTGATGAAGATAATAGGCATAGGCATTCCAAGGACAAAAATGTTGCTGGAATCATTGTAAAGGTATCACAGAGACTTTGGGGACTTTCATTGACCAGGCATTAAAAGATAAATATGATGCAAGTGGCAGAAAACAGTAGACTAGAGCGCTTGAACAAAGTCAAGATGGGTTGTGTACTGAGTATGCTTAGTGGATACTGAACAGGCCAGAATGATTTGAATCAAGGATTTCAGTGCAGAAGAGAGAGAGAAGGATTGGAGAATTAGGTTGAAACTGAATGTTGGGACTCTGAGGCCTTGGTGAGAAATCTGAGTGAGTTTATTAGGGGCCATCAGAGAGATTTATGAACTGGAAAGTGGCATGAAAGCAGTACTTTTTCTTTTTTTCTATAGATTGGTTTGGATACAGCAGAGTATCCGTACCTGTTTTTCTGAAGTAAGGAGGTGCCATGATATCCTGGAGAAATCGGGGGAAATAGGGAGCAGGTTTGAGATGTTGAAAGGTACTACTGCGTTTGGGGAAAAGGAAAAAGGAGCAATTGAAACTGACCTTGGATCCCCAAATATCATGACAGAAATGAAAATAAAGGTATTTCAGCTTTATATGATGTTTTGTGTTTTTAAAACTTTAAGATGGCCGGTTCAACTCTTTATTACAGATGAGGAGTTTGAGAATCATTGTTGAAAGAACTTGGCCAGGGTCATGGTCTCCTTGTCTTAAGTAGTGGAGCTAAGAATTGAGCCCAGGTCTTTTCCTGATCTGTTGTCATTGGCATGTACTCAGTTGCCTGTCGGTGCCTCCGTTTTTCTGGACTCTTTCACTTTGTGCAGTCAATCCCTAAGTTTTGTTATTTCTGTCCTAAATATATCTCAAGTCTCCCCCACTTCTCTTGGCACCACTTCTGCCTTAGTTCCGGTTTCTACCATCTTTCTGGATTGATATTTTCCTGAATTTATATCTAGTCTCTACCCTGCATACCACTACCTAAAACAAATAAGCAAATAAAAGCAATCTGTTTTCCTGCAGTTCAGTTTTTGAGAGCTTTCTAAATTATAGAGCATTCTCTTGTACTTTTTGAATAAAATGTAAACTTTGTAGCCTGGCCTTATAAGGTTCTGCATGATCATGCCCCTTACCTGGGTGCTTCCAGTTCCATGCTCACTTTGTTTTTCAGCCTCTTATGTCTTATTACTTTGGTAAGCAACGTCCTTCCCCCTTTTCCCCACTGTACCCTCAGTCCCATACATTCTGGTCTTGGCTGAGTTTAATTCTCAGTTTACTTGTTTCTAATCATCCCCCCTGTGCTTCTTCCCCTTACCTCCAACTCACCCACTGTTTACCCCTCTGAGAAGAGTCCCTCAAGTAGGTTTATTAAAGGTAGCTACTATTTTCTTGCTTGCTAATATAGGTGGACTCACAGACATTTGTTGAATGGGAAAATGTTTTTATACTTTAGGGTCATTTCAAGTTAGAAGTGACTTTAGTGGAGAATAAAGAGTCTGAAAGAATAACTGAAAAAAAAAAAAAGTCACCTTTCAACCTGTACTTCAGAGCCCTTGTATACTGCAAGGTGTTACGTGTTTCACAGAAAAAGATTCCATGACCAAATATATTAGAGAATGCTGCAGACTATATCCACGATAGGAATATAAGACTGCATGTCAGACTATAATCAGTAAAGGCTTCAGGAAGTTCTATAGTAAAAATAAGTATATATTTTTTGATACAGCATTTTCCTAATATATTTGATTATGGAAACTTTTTAGATAGAATAAATGTAATTTCTCCTAGGTTACTAGCAGTATTTGGGAAATGCTAAATGTATGTGTCTTTTATTTCCCTCAGGTCTAATTAATACATTTATACCACATAATCAGGCTCATGCCCAGAGGATATTTGGAGGAACTCTGATTGTTTACATAGTTGAAAGGGAAAACTTTAGGGAAGATATCAGTTCAGTTCAGTTCAGTTCAGTCGCTCAGTCGTGTCCGACTCTTTGCGACCCCATGAATCGCAGCACGCCAGGCCTCCCTGACCATCCACCAGCTCCCGAAGTTTACTCAAACTCATGCCCATCGAGTCAGTGATGCCATCCAGCCATCTCATCCTCTGTCGCCCCCTTCTTCTGCCCTCAATCCCTCCCAGCATCAGGGTCTTTTCCAGTGAGTCAGCTCTTCGCATGAGGTGGCCAAAGTACTGGAGTTTCAGCTTCAGCATCAGTCCTTCCAATGAACACCCAGGACTGATCTCCTTCAGGATGGACTGGTTGGATCTCTGTGAAGTCCAAGGGACTCTCAAGAGTCTTCTCCAACACCACAGTTCAAAAGCATCAATTCTTCAGCACTCAGCTTTCTTTATAGTCCAACTCTCACATCCATACATCACTACTGGAAAAACCATAGCCTTGACCAGACGGACCTTTGTTGGCAAAGTCATGTCTCTGCTTTTTAATATGCTATCTAGGTTGGTCATAACTTTCCTTCCAAGGAGTAAGCATCTTTTAATTTCATGGCTGCAGTCACCATCTGCAGTGATTTTGGAGCCCAGAAAAATGAAGTCTGACACTGTTACTATTGTCTCCCCATCTATTTCCCATGAGGTGATGGGACCAGATGCCATGATCTTAGTTTTCTGAATGTTAAGCTTTAAGTCAACTTTTTCACTTTCCTCTTTCACTTTCATCAAGAGGCTTTTTAGTTCCTGTTCACTCTCAGCCATAAGGGTGGTGTCATCTGCATATCTGAGGTTATTGGTATTTCTTTCGGCAATCTTGATTCCAGCTTGTGCTTCTTCCAGCCCAGCGTTTCTCATGATGTACTCTGCATAGAAGTTAAATAAGCAGGGTGACAATATACAGCCTTGACATACTCCTTTTCCTGTTTGGGACCAGTCTGTTGTTCCATGCCCAGTTCTAACTGTTGCTTCCTGACCTGCATATAGATTTCTCAGGAGGCAGGTCTGGTGGTCTGGTATTCCCATCTCTTTCAGAATTTTCCACAGTTTATTGTGATCCACACAGTCAAAGGCTTTGGCATAGTCAATAAAGCATAAATAATAGCTATCTTCAAATATTTGAAGGTTCAATTAAAAGAGGAATTGAAAATATTTTTTTTGAAAAATAATTTCTTTGAAACTAGAGAATAAGAGCAAGAACCAGGGAGAGGAAGATGTAAGTAGGCAGAGGTTTTACTTTGTATAAGGGTAACTTTCTAATAATTAGAATTTTCTAAAGTTAAGTAAGTGTTCTGTCCCTAAAGCTTGTCAAGCAAAGATTTATAGGGATGCTCTAGAGGAGTTTAGCACATTAGGTAAGGAATAGATCAGAAGGGTAGTTTTCTGCAATAGTTTGAAAACGATTAGGCTCTATTTCTGAGATACCTATCAATAGGAATTTATATTCATTGATCCCTTTCTAATTCTGTGAATCCATGTCTTGCTTTGCAGTCTTAGTCAAGAAACCAAATATGAGAAACAGACAGTAGAAATTTTAATGGTATGGTTAATTGCTTTTAGTTGCTTTTTTTTTTATAGAGTTTATTTTTTAGAGCAGTTTTAGATTCACACAAAGAAATTCAACACAAAGTATAGAGAGTTCATATATACACTCTTCCCCTAGTAATATATTAATACAACCTCTCTCACTGTCCACATTCCACAGTATTGTGGTACATTTGGTAAAATGAATGAACCCTACGTTGATATGTTATCACCCAAATGTCTACATTTAGAGTTCAACCCGTTCCCCCTTTTTCCCCTATTTTTTTGGCTGTGTGCAGCATGTGGGATCTTAGTTCCCCAACCAGGGATCAAGCTGCAGTGGAAGCGTGGTGCCTTAGCCACTGGACCACCAGGGAATTCTAGAGTTCACTCTCAGTTGTTGATGTTTTGAAAGAAAACGTGAATATTCTTGCTTATCTTTAAGAAAGTGGTCTTTAGTTGTTTCTTACCCTAGTGTAGTCTTTTCTGATTCAGAGGTCTAAAAGATAACTAGATCAACATCTGTATTGAAAAAGTAGTCATCTTTCAGGAAAATTCTTTTTTTTTTTTTTTTCAATAATCTCATTAGAAATGTTTTATTTTGCTGACTAACAGTATTTTTTCTTCCTTTTAAGTACCTAAAGAATTGGTGGAGCTCCATTTGAAGTTGATGAGGAAGATTGGCAAATCTGTTACAGCAGACAGATGGGAAAAATACTTGATCAAGGTAAATATTTATAAATCACCTTCTCTGAAATATTATTCTATCTAGCATAAATTGATATTATGTTTCATAATGTTCTCTGACTTTTAAAATGTTCTCCTAAAAGTTGCAAAATATGAACCAGAAATCCATATGATTACTATAACTTTTGCAGCAACTATGCACTGGTCTAGAGTCCTAAAGATTTTAGAGGGTTACATATCTTTTGTGCCAAACACTGTGCTCAGGACTCTTCATGTTTCCTCTCAGCTGTTCCTTAAAATCATCCTAGTCAACTTAATTAACGTACAGACAAGACCCAATAAAGTTGTCATTTTTCTTTGAGATCACATAGTATGTGTCAGTTCAGTTCAGTCGCTCAGTCATGTCCGACTCTTTGCGACCCCGTAATTGCAGCACGCCAGGCCTCCCTATCCATCACCAACTCCCGGAATTTATTCAAATTCATGTCCATCGAGTCGGTGATGCCATCCAGCCATCTCATTCTCTGTCATCCCCTTCTCCTCCCGCCCCCAATCCCTCCCAGCATCAGGGTCTTTTCCAATGAGTCAGCTCTTCACATGAGGTGGCCAGAGTATTGGAGTTACAGCTTCAGCATCAGTCCTTCCAGTGAACACCCAGGACTGATCTCAGCTCTGCTGTTAACAAACTTTGGATCCATGGATGATCTGCTTTTGCCCCCCTTGTATCTCAGTTTCTTCATAAAATGTGGAAATTAGAACAAGATGATTTTAAAACCCTTAAGTTTTATGGTCATAACCACAGATTCTTAGTGTTTTTTAATTGAAATATATTCATATAACATAAAATTTGCTGTTTGAAAGTATGCAGTTCAGTGTTTTTTAGTATATTCATAAGGTTGTGCAACCATCACTATTATCCAAAACAGAACCTCTTCATTGCCCCGGAAAGAAACCCTCATACCCATCTGCAGTTATTTCCTCCTTCCCTAGTCCTTGGCAACCACTGATCTCTTTTCTGACTCTATGGATTTGCATATTCTGGAGGTTTCATATAAATAGAATTACAATTTGTAGCCTTTGTGTTTGGCTTCTTTCCCTTAGCATAATGTTTTTAAGGCTCATCTATGTTGTAGCATGTATCAGAACTTTGTTCCTTTTTGAGCCTGATTAATAGTCTGTTATGTGGATAATACTACATTTTATCCATTTATCAGTTTATGATATTTGACTTCTTTCTGTCTTTTGGCTATTATAAATAGTACTGCTATGAACATTTGTGAACAAGTGTTTTGGTAGATGTGGTCAATTTTTTGAATATTTATCTAAGGGTAAAAGTGGTAGGTCATAGTAATTTTTTAACTTTTTGAGAAACTACCAGACTTTTTCCAGAACAGCTCCAATGATTTACATTTCCCCTAGGAACCTATAAGGGCTCCAACTTTTCCACATCCCTCCTTACCAATACTGGTTATCAAATGATTGATTTTATTCATCCCAGTGGAGATGAAGTGTTACCTCATTGTGGTTTTGATTTGGATTTCCCTTAATGTCTAAATGATGTTGAGCCTTTTTCTCAAATGCTTGTGTGTCTTCTTTGGAAAAATGTCTGTTCATATCCTTGTCCATCTTTTAATTGACTGTCTTTGTTTTTGAGTTTTTTTTTAAATATATACTGCATACTAGACACTTAACAGATTTATGGTTCACAAATATCTTCTCCAATTATGTGTGTTATCTTTTCAGTTTCTATGTAATGTCTTTTGATGCATGGAAGTTTTAATTTAGATTAACTCCAATTTTTTTCCTTTGTGGCTAGTGCTTCAGTGTCACATATAAGAAGTCATTGCCCAGCACAGGATCGTGAAAATCTAATCCTATGTTTTGAGAGCTTTTATACTTTTAGCTCTTAAATTTAGATCTGACCCATTTAATTTTTGAATATACTCTTAGATAGGAGTTCAGCTATATTCTTTCACACATAGATATCTGTTTGTTCTGTTATGATTTGTCAAAAACATTATTTATTCCCTCACTGGATTGCCTTTACATCCTTGTAGAAAGTCAGTCGACCATGAGTGTGAGAGTTTATTTCTAAAGTCTTCATTCTGTTGACTTTCATGTTGTTATTTATGCTAGTACCATATAGTCTTGGTTGCTGTGGTGGCTCAGACAGTAAAGAATCCACCTGCAATGCAGTAGACCTGGCTTCGATCCCTGGGTTGGGAAGATCCCCAGGAGGAGGGCATGGGAATCCACTCCAGTATTCTTGCCTGGAGAATCCCCATGGACAGAGAAGCCTGGCAGGCTACAGTCCATGGCGTCACAAAGAGTTGGACACGGCTGAGTGACTAAGCACACAGCACACTCATATCGTCTTGGTTATTGTAGCTTTGTGGCAAGTATTTAAATTGTTTATCTTCTACAAAATTGTTTTGGCTATTCTGCATCACTTTCGTTTCCTTATCCTTAAACTTATCCTTGAGGATCAACATCTGCTAAAATGCCAGTTAGAATTTGTATTGGGATTGTATATAATTTGTAGATAAATTTGGGGAGTATTGGCTTCTTAATGATATTAAGTTCTCTGATCCATGAACATGAGATGTCTTTCAAAATACGTAAGTCTTCAGTTCCTTTCAACAGTATTTTGTGGGCACTTCCTTGGCTACCCTGCACTTCCAATGCAGGGGCACAGGTTCAATCCATTGTTAGGGAACTAGGATCCCATGTGCTGTATGGTGTGGCCTAAAAATAAAAAAATATTTTGCAGTTTTTGAACTCTGGTCTTAGACTTTATTCCTTAGCATTTTGCCATTTTTGATGGTATTGTAAATGGAATTTTCTTAATTTCATTTTCATATCATTCATTTCTAGTGTTGTGGAAATACAACAGATGATTGTGTATTGATCTTGTATGTTGTAACTTTGCCAAAGTCATTTATTAGCTCAAATAGCTTTTTCTTTAGTAAATTCTTAAAATTTTCTATGTACATGATTAGGTCATCTGCAAACATTTACTTCCTCTTCAGTCTGGATGCCCTTTATTTATTTTTCTTGTGTAATTGCTTTCCTGGAACTTCTAATACACTGTTGGATGGAAATGATGAGAGCAGACATCTTTGTCACGTTCCTGATCCTAGGGAGAAAGTTTATGGTCTTTCAGCTTTTATTATGTATGTATGTTATTTGAGGGTTTTTCATTGATGTCCTTTATCAGATTGAGGAAATCCTCTTCCCCCGCCTGGTTTGTTGAGTATTTCTATCATGAAAGCTGTTGGATTTTGTCAAGTGTTTTTTTCTGCATCTATTGAGATAACCACGTGAATTTTGTCCTTTATTGATCTGTAGTGTGTTACATTGATTAGTAGTATGTTACATTGATTAGTTTTCACCTTGCAATCCTGCATTCAGTCCCATTTGGTCATGGGCCGCAATCTTTTTTATATGTTTTTAGGTTTGATTTGTTAATTTATTTTCGAAGATTTTTGTGCCTATGTTCATAACAGATATTGATTTTCTTTTTCTTGAGGTATCTTTGTCTGGTTTTAAAATCTGGGCAATGCTGGTCTAATGTTGAATTGAGAAATGTTTCCTCTGCTTTTATTTTTTTAATGGATTTTTGTGAGGTATTAGAATTAAGCAGTGAGGCCATGTGGGCTTGGGCTTTTCTTTGTTGAAAATTTTTTTGTTTGTTAAACCAGTCTCTTTAATTGTTACTGGTTTATTCAGATTTGTATTTCTTCTCGTGTCAAGTTCAGTATTTGTGCCTTTGCAGGAAACTGTTCATATTATTAGATTAACTGTTTTGAAGTGAAGTGAAGTTGCTCAGTTGTGTCCTACTCTTTGTGACCCCAGGGACTGTAGCCTACCAGACTCTTCTGTCCATGGAATTCTCCAGGCCAGAATACTGGAATGGGTAGCCATTCCCTTCTCCAGGGCATTATCTGTTTTATTGGCATACAATTGTTCATAGCATTCACTTACAATTCTTCTTACTTTTCCAAAGTCTGTAGTAATGTTCCTCGTTTCTTTCCTCTTTTTTACTGATTTAGTGTTTCTCTTTTTTTCCTGGTCAGTCTAGTTAGAGCTTTGTAAAATTTTATCTTTTTAAGAACCTACTGCTTTTGGTTTAGTTGAATTTCTCTGTTGTTTTTCTGTTTGATTATTTTCTTCCTTTCACTTGCTTAGTGTTTAACTGTTCTTCTTTTCTTAAAGTGAAAGTTTAGGTTATCAGTTTGAGGTATTCCTTTTTTTCCAATATATTTATTTTCAGCTCTTCCATCTAATCCCTGCTTAGCTTCATCGTATAAATGGGCACATTGTTTTTCATTTTCATTCATTTCTAAGTATTTTCTCTTTTCCTTTCTGATTTCTTTTTTGACCTGTTGGTTATTTAGTAGTATGTTGTTTCCACGTTTCTGAATTTCCCCAGTGTTTTCCTGTTTTTGATGTCTAATTTCGTCCCATTATGTAGGAGAACATACTTCATTCTTTCATATTAAAAAATAATTTTTCTACTTAGATATTTATAGGGATTTGCTAACTTCATATGTATGTTTACTGTCCTTTTTTCCCCCTGATTTTTAAGACTTCTGCTACCCTGTAAAGTTTATACACACATACACACTCTCATGTATAAATGTATATTTTCCCTTATCCTTTTTTGATATGCTAATGTAGCTACTGTTTTATTTAAATAACTATAAACTCTCCATTAACTTTTTTTTAGATTAAAATATTTTTTATTTTGACTCTGCTGGGACTTTGTTGCAGGACATGGGCTCTCTCTAGTTTTGGTACTTCTTGAAAAAGACCCTGATGCTGGGAAAGATTGAAGGCGGGAGGAGAAGGGAACGACAGAGGAGGAGATGGTTGGATGGCATCACCGACGCGATGGACATGAGTTTGAGTAAACCCCGGGAGTTGATGATGGGCAGGGAAGCCTGGCGTGCTGTAGTTCATGGGGTTGCAAAGAGTCGGACGTGACTGAGCGCCTGAACTGAACTGGGCTTTGGTATATGGGCTTCTGATTGCGATAGC